AACAACTGCTGAGTTTGACGGGAGGGCTAACATCACATCCTAGAGGTAGTGCTCTAGAACGACGCCGTGCACAAGATATATAACTAGTGCATAACAGTGTCTATATAATCAAAAAAGTGATCGTAGACGTAAGGAGTATACAGCCGGGCTGTTGAAATTTCATACTATTCTTTGTCGACTGGCTGCTACCCTGCGCTCCGCCGCTCCCGAAGAGCTATCATAGTTAGTCTCTACTTTATAGGTTATGTGCCTCGGTGCTCTAGCGACCGGTGGTTAGGTAGGTCTCAATAATCTAGCAAATGACCACGCCCCTCTGTGGCGGTTACTTCCGTGTCTCATTGACAATCTAGGGGCTAAATAGGCTGCGGGCACCAGACAGCACGAGCTGTAAACTAGTATACCTTGCTTTCGTGTAGAATTGTAATTATACCTAAGACCCTGCTCGTCATCTCAAACTATAAGCCTCAGCCTTGTCTTAACGCTTTTTAACAACCTTAAGCTCTGCTTAACGTGCAATAATATAGCAGGCTCCTTAAGATCTTCTACCTAGAAGAACTACACCAAATTGCTTTTGATGATGATACCCACCGGCCAGATATATTAGTAGGGGAATATACAAGTGGCCAATAGTGCATAATGCAAGATAAAGAAATCTCACCAATTACCTACCTTACGCGAGACCCGACAGTTAGGGTCGCATTTCTCGGACGAGATAGATCTAACTATAGGGCGCAGGTAATGATCTAGACATTTTATGTTGATCTAGACATCTTCTTATGTTGACCCACTTTAAAGCACTTGAAGGGTTCTTTGCGTCTATCCCGTAGATACAAATACCTAATCTTCAAAGACTAAGGAGCTCGAGAGATGAAACTATGCTGAGTATATTCATAGACTAGCTGCTATCAAACTGTACTTCGCCAGAAGTACCCCAGATATTTGACAAATACTAAATTAGAGTTCACATCCAACTAAGAACGAGAGAGCGAGGGACGGGTCGGCACGGAGCGTCCCGCCCACGGCTCCAAGGCTCTTCAGCGGTGGATCAGGCGTGTTTTCCCGGTCGGCTGCTTAGAGGTACACCCCTGCGAACACTTAAGAAGTGGCCCCACTTTCTGCTCGCCCCTTACCGAGCTTATGTACAGTAGCATCATAAATAATCCCCTTTAAGTACCACGATCAGTGTTCTGTGTTATAGTACTCTCCTATAGCTAGCTGAATGATCGCCATATTTATACGTAGGTATGTAGAAGTTAATACTCAGGTGCGATAATGTAGCTCGAAAGTCAGTTCAGCAAGACCATAGATTGATCAATTCATCTAAGAGACATCTGTGATACCAAAGCTAATGATAACGTACAGTATTTGTATCTATTGCAGTATCCTCGAAAGGTCGGAATTTGGAAATATATACGTTCTTATGATGTATATTAGGTAGGTGTGAGTGGGAATTTCCGGGCTTATCCCTACACTTCCCTCTTAGCTAGTCTTTTCCCTTCAACAACCAACTTCATCTTCCGCCCTAGGTTCCTCCTTCCTCTGTACTTGTTTCCTTGTATAGTATATAGGTAGGTAGATCATCTAGGTTCGCACTATTGCCAACTGGAACCACTGCCAACAGTATTAATAATGTATCATTAGTATGCACGGCTTTAATGAAATTCAGGGATTGTCAAGTCTAATCTGTCGAACCTTACGCCTTAGACATTGAGGTAGAGCAGTGGAAACCTTGGAACCCCCCGGAGAACTCATCTGTCTCTTCTTGTGTAAGAACGATTAGCTATATACATATTAGAACCACCGGGAACGCAACGACAATCATTGCTTTCTGGTAACTCGCTATCAAAGAATAGCTTGTTATCTGCATGATTTTCCACGGTGTGATTTAACCTGCGATAGAATTAAAATATTTTATCGTGAGTTGAACTATTAGAGCACTTAAGGGAGAGGGATATAGATAATTCCTGTATATTGCTCTCTTTTAAATAGTAAAGAGAGAATAAGACAGCCCGTATTCTAATCGCTAGCGCTCACTAGATAGAGATATAGACCTATACTACGCATCGTAAAAAGCAAACATTCTTAGCGTAAACCATAGTAGCAGAATCATAGCCTACCACGTACGAACCCAATACCCCTTGCACCCACTTGCCTTATATATAGGAATAAGGTTGTGCTAAGGATAGATTAGTCAATTTATTTGGCGATCTTGATTCATACGTTGGGACATGGGGCAGGCTAGAAATCGCTGCTGAAGTCATTAGGGTAGTGAGTCCACGAAGCTATAAAGAGGCCTAATGATCCCAATTGTTCTAGAGTATCCAACCACCTCTTCATTTTCTTATCCTACTTTGAGATTCCAATCCTCATTCCTAAGAACCATTCCAACTTCCTCCCACGATAAAGCTTCAAAGCGTCCTTTACTACTGCTCCTTCCTCGCTGTGGTTAAGGCCTAGTATAGCAGTATTTGTCCCGACAGAGATAGGGAGACAGAGGAAATCAACCCCGGACACTTCGTGAAGTACAAGTGTGGGTAGCTCGGACCGTATAGCAGGGCGACACACCAAAACATCAATACCGCCCAAGCCTGTGCTCAACTCTGCCAGGACAAGCTAGGTTACACTGGAAGCTCCTAGCAGTCTGTACAGAGCAGATGTGTGTTAAGTAGCGACCGAACCAACGAGGCTCGTTCCAACGTCCTTTGGATAGAGGTGGTTCAGCTAGAGGAGGATCCCTTCCCGGAAGACCCAGAAGAAGAAGTCGTCGACCCTTTCCCTGAAAATCCTGAAGAGGATTATAACACCCAGTTAAGAACCTGCCAGACGCAGAACACAGATTGCCTAACGGAGAAGGCAGCCCTTCAACACAAGAAAGCTGCGTAGATCAAGAAGCAGAACGCGCTGAGCAAATACCCCTCCCAGCACGAGAAAGTTATTGTCCGTGGTAGTATTAGATATAAGGTCCACTGTTTCATACGCAGCAAAGGTTTCACTAGTTACAAGTCGACCGACCACGCATTCACTCAATGCATAGACGCATACTCCGCTGATTCCCGATGCAAAGCTATTCACTATCTCATCGACAGTGCCCAACCCTACAAGATACTTAGTTCAGTCGACAACAACAAACAGCCTGATCACAGCTCTAGCCCACAGATTTCCCTTATCCCTGTCACGCCGAAATAAGTTAACAATATAGATAGAAATTTTAGTATTGGTATGCTAAAAATCGACGTCACTGCCTCGGGCTCCACACGGGCTTTATTTGACCTTGCACGAGATTAGAAGAGGATATAGACCTCTGGGGGCATCCAAGTGTTATTGAATTTCCGGGTTTTTTTTGAAATTTTGATTTACTCTTTCAGTTATTACAGAAACAAGAACACAAATTATATCTAAGCTTCCGCACAAAACCGGATTAGAGTCGACTTTTTCTGTATGTTTCCTTATATAGAGCTTAACTATAGTAGGCACTTATGCCATCTTACCGCTATACCTGTATATCGGAGCGCTCTCCTTTTTTGCACCAACATCATAAACGCACCGCCGGAGGAAGTCATAAAACCCTTGGTCTAGATTCTCTTCGTATGCTGACCAAGTTTGCTTAATATAAGCTTTTAGATCAGCAAAGAACTCTTCGATAGGGTTGAAATTCGGAGAGTAAGGGAGTAGGTGCAGTAGTTTGACTCCAGCGTCAGCACATAACTGCGTGACTCGGTCCGAATAGTGGAAAGATAATAAGCACGGATTTTGGCTCCGGCCACCTTCCACAGTGCTGGAGAAGCTGCTCAATAAATAATTCGAAGAACGTATCATTAGTTGAACCATTGAAAATGCGAGACAAAATGATACTATCTTGAGCATACGCCGGCAGTGTCTGGTAGCGTTTAGCCCGATAAAATTTCGACACCTCGACCAGTGTCACGCCGAGTGGTGACCAGCCAGTCCGCTTATAATCCACCCTTTTATGGCATCCAGATTTATCGAAAAAAACCAGATAATACGACCGAAACTCAGATAGTTTATGCTGGTAGTAATCTCGCAGTTGAGGGTTGTGTTCTTTTGCTTTCTGTTGGTTTTTTTTTGTCCAGTCAGATTGGGAAAATGCAGGTTTGATGCTAGGTAATTATAGTAACATGTTGAACTCAACGCATGAGAAGATAGCTATCTCCTCAATATATAGGCCGGGCTTTTCGACGAGATGGTCACAGAGGGCATCCAGCATGACAGGGGCGATGCTTGGTTGTCGCCCGACCGGGACTGGGGGAGACCAGGCATCACCGAACAGCCGCATGTTCTTACGTATATTATTGACAGAACGCTCACTACGCTTCGCGACCTTGCCCATTTGTGACATGGTGAATCTGTTCTTGCTGAGTATAACATGGACAATCATCTTACACTGCCACGGACCGTATGCGTAGCTATCAGAATATATCCATTGTCGCCAGATGCTTCTTCTGGCTTTCCTAGGAAAATATGCCTACGTCCCGATACTACTGCTCCTGATTTAGATATAGTACTAGCCGTGCTGCTGGTTGTGCGGCGCCTCGCCGTTTGGTGGTTGTCATTATAGGGCCACCCAAGAATCATTCGCAAGGCACGGGCCGTAACAGGAGGGCTTTTTGCCCCTCATCAACTACGGAGGAAACGCTCGCTTACGATTGGTAGGTGTCAAAGCATGGTGGGATCCAATAGTGTATGGTTGGGAGCCATTTCTCGGAAAAATACATCTTCCAGAAGCCCTGATCAGCTGACTTCAACCCTGCTGTCATCCCAGGACGTCGATGGCCGACAACAGCCCCTCAGATTACAGCCTTTCTTTCTGCAGGAAGAAGAACGAGGAGAAAAGAAATAAAACTATTTTGACTCAATTCATCAAGGCAGTATATATTTCCTTCACCAACCGGCTCGCGAGTTTCTCCTCGCAGATTCGGCTTCACACCCGACTATTTCGTCCGAGCTGCACTGGCATCACTCTATCACTACCCAAGCTAGATATGGACGGCATGGTAAGCCATCGGCCAGGCCTTAATGGCAAAGGCAGCGTGTTCTGGTTTACAGCCAGATTCGGTCGCATCGACTTGGCGAGATTGAATAAGAAGCTTGCCGCATCTCAAACCCATGCACTGGCAAAGGTCATGCGCAAAATGCGGGAGATCGTACTGCACAAGCACATTGTACTAGTCGAGCACAGCCTGGTCAACAATACGGTTATGCTCAAACTTCTTCAGACCCTAGGTTTGAGCCCATTGATGTAGCCGGGAATGGTGCAAAGGCTGTTAGGCTACTGAGCCAACACCCTTGACATACAACATAATAGTTATTAACATCATTATACCAGTCATGAATGGTTTGGAAGCCATATCACAGATTCGAGAAATGGAAATTAACGTGCCTATTGTCGCACTCACGGCGAATACGCTGAAGGGCGACAGCGAGATATTTCTCGCTCGGGGAATGAATGACCATGTCAGAAAACCTGTTCATCGTGATAAGTTGGTATGCATGCTGTGGAAATGGAGGGGTATATGATTGAGGTTTTGCTAGATCATAGATAATCGTACTCGCATTTGAACACGCCGTAACGGAAAAGCATAGCTTCACTGCTTGCCTTGGGGTATAATTCCTTCGAGCATTTCGGCAGGCCGTTTTTACCCCGCTTCGCCCATTTTACGCACAATTTAGTTGAATTCAACCAGTCTAACCTTTCCAATCCCATAATCCAATCTTCTGCAGCATGAGACTAGTCCAAAGTTGGCCGAGCGAATCCCACGAATACCTATCGTAAAAGGGTGCCACGGCATGCGCAAGTCCCTCGCGAACTTTAGATTATAGAGAGACTCGCCGATGGCTGTGTTTAAAGAAGCATTCTCAAGCTTACCTAGGCGCGCGGTCCACGTACTAATCGACATTCTGTTGCGGATTTTGCTAGTGCTGTACCTAGATCTCGGCTATATAGTCAGATATGAGACTTGTCAAGTATAATCAAATACGGAGTCACCAATATCTAAATCGTAAATACGAGCGGAATGAGCGATTGATCACGTAGAACTAAACTAAGTACATAAAGGGGTGTCTCTCAAAGAGTAGGTACTGGAGTCACGGTCACGTGGTGCTTTCCCATCAACTAGCGTTGTGGTGTAACCGCATAGTTAATTCATGTTCGTACTAAGTGCATTGGTGAAAATGTTCAATCATGATGGAGTTCATCCGGGACACTCGAACCAAAAAAGCCATCGGTTCTAAGATGGAATGCAAGTCGCTATTATAGAGCATCGAAAAGGATCCCAAAGCCCCATGGAAAAGCACAGGGAATAATTTTGTGATAGTACTTGATATTTTACGGTTGGTTGGTTCGATAATTTGCTTTATGCTTGGCATCTGCCATAATGAACCACTCTGCTATTCTGCCGCCGAGAAATATCTTTTGAACACTTCATTAGGTAGTTCATGATGATCAAATTCCAGTGGTGTGAAACCCACATATTTCTATCTCCAAGATTTTTACTTGCCCTCCCGCATCTCCACCTTAGCGAACTTGTGGAGCCCTTTCACGAATTGAATATATCTAAGGCATGGAACATCGGGAAAGACTCTATAGGTGTTGTCAGTTCTTTTCTTGGATGCAAAAGAAAAAGAGCTCACTTTATCTCCGCATACTTCATATACCACGGAGGATATCCATTTAAGCAGCACTGCGGTCCGAAAACAAAGATGAGGTCGGGAGCACGTCCATATAAATTATCTAGCTCCTTGGTAATTGCTTCAGAGCTAAGAACTTCATCTGGTACCGTACCCTCTTCATTCAGTCTCTGCAATCGTTGTGCAAGTTTGACGATAGTCTCCTGGCCATCGGAATGGTTCAGAATGCGAATATTGAGACATTTAGATTGATCAGTGTCAGGCTCAATGGACTCCAGAACGGAACTCAGTGTGGATATCTTTACACACGGTGGTGTCTGAATACTTGACGATCGAATCTTGCGAACGAGCGAATAGAGTATGTCCCATTGAATGTCGGCTGGGGCTGCTATACCACATCATGATTGGATTTTAAAGAGCCTTATGCAATTTGGTGGGGTCCTAACTTACCTGATCTGTGATAAATAGTCAAGGTCCAAATTTGCGAGCATATGGACCAGTAACAAAGACTCACAACATCTTCGACAGCCTTCTCACGTAGGTTCTTGTCGACATTACTCAGACCGTGACTCTGGGGCAGAATTATGGACAAGTGGCTGGGTCGGTTGGTAGGAAGCGATTCATTAAGATTGTACTCCAGTAAGCTGTCCCGGTAGAGCAATCCATCCAGCACTATGGAGCAGGATTCACGTAAGCTCGCTAAGAATGCAAACACGCGGAACAAGACTTCGAGAGCTTGATTAGCGCCCCAGCACGAAATCGCAATAAGAGGAATATACGCTCTCCATGTGTTGTATTGTTTCATGTTTGGCATGTTGCCTTCTGAGTTGAGCTTCAGTTCGAATCTGTCTATAATGTGATAAGGTAAGAAAGAACAAGCAGAAGATCGTATCAAGTAATAGTAAAACTCTCCAACCTGTGCGAATGTAGGCGGCCTTAAACAGCCGATAAAATTCTATAAATCTCTCTAGAATAGGGTTAAATCAGACTTAAACTATTTTATAAGAGGTAAGAAATATGTCGTAACACATAGAGGCAAACAGCGGTGAGAATATTAGGGCATACATGTTCGCTACAAATAAGAGGCAAGAGATATTCCCGGATAATGAGCGGGGCAAGTAGCGGTGAGTATGTCAAGGCACCCTTGCGGATGGGAATATCCGTGATATCAGCTTGCGACTTGTGCCAACTCGGTTATGTTGGATTGGATGAAGTACTGCCCGACCCAAACAACTAAAGTGTATCTGTCGTTAACCATACAAGTGTTAGCCATAACCATGACCCAACAAGATACTCTGAGACATGCACCAATGCATTTGAATGACATTCGGGAATGCGAACAAATGACTCATACTTCACTGGTTTGTATGTAATGCACAACCAAGCCCCGCCCCTGCCCTGGCAGTTAACAAGTTCTGGCATCGTACAGTACAGCACCTAGAACTGCATCTGTGCATGATCCATTCCTAGATCGACTACTAACAAATCGCCCGAGAACTATGTGGGTGTCTGATGCAGTCTTAGAGATCGGATGCGAGCGGAGACAGAAGAGGCGGTGAGCGCAGAAACTTGGTCCTTTTGGAAAGTTCTCATTGTACAGTGGATGTGTCTATCGTGATTAAGCCCGCTGGGATTCTCCTTGTAAGGCGTATCGCCTTATCTTGCATAATTAGGGATGACACAAAGAAGTTTGGTGGTGCTTCTTGTGGTTTTGCAAGAATGTTCATTTTATATTTAATAACACAAATAAATGACCTATATTTACATTTCGAAGATCGCCTCTCCTTCGTGCTGAAACACCTCTTAAGGCGGGTACCTAAGTACTGATCTACCTAAGCGCACAATTTCGATTTGCGACAATTTTATATGACATGCTGAGAAAAGTAATATGCACTTTCATGTGACGTGTCTGATATTGATATCGTAAGGTACTCTAAAATCCACATCCAGCTCCACCATATTTTGGACATTTAAATCTATATGTTCTTGCTCTCGTGCTCTTATACGCAGTAAGTATTAAGTTTTGTACCATATATGCAATATTTGCATTGGATATAATCATAATATTACTATAGAATGTAGAATAAATGTATGTCAAGCTCGCATAGATGTCCTAAGTTAAAAGGCTAACCAGATCAGGATAGATTTCACACCCAACCCTGAGATACACATCCAAGATATGTGCCCCACTGCAGATCTTTAGTCTCAATTTCGGGAAATGACAGGTCCAAATTTTGAATCGTTTCACCTGACAGATCGATCAGCCTTGCAATTAGGGAACCGCCGATTGTAAAAAGCCAGAGCCCTCCTCCGTTTCCCTTCGGACCTTTTCTTTTTGTTACTACCTCGGTATTCGTCATTAGCTCGCATTTATCATATCCTCAGGTCCCAGAAACCCACAGAATATGTGATTCTTGTCCATCACAATGGCTATAATATCTCGGTATCTTGAACGAGCATTACTGGCCACCCTTAGCTATGGCAAGGTGCCAAAGCACATCGCGATGATCATGGATGGCAATCGAAGATATGCCCGCACACATAACATGCCAATAAGAGAAGGTTATCTCGAAGGGTTTGCAAATGCAGCAAATGTTGGTGCCTTCACACTGAGTGCAAAATTGTGAAAGCATTGACTTATACAGGACCGCCAGATAATCGAAGACTTATATCAGCTGGGAGTCTCAACAGTGTCTTTTTTCATGTTCGGGGTGGATAACTTCAAGCGTGATCCCAACGAAATTGAGGACATCATGAAGATCATTAATGATGAAGTTGGCAAGTGGGTTGCGCCTGGAGGGCTAGCGCATCGTTTGGAGGTGTGTTTGAGCCATTGCGGTGAGCGAGATATGCTGAAACCGGATCTGCTGGACGTTCTGGATTATGCGATGGATATCACCAGAAACTATAGACGGTATGCCTCGAAACGCCTCTTTCGAAAGATATTAAGATTTGACAATTCAGTAGGGTCAAAGTAAATCTATTCATAGCATACAGCGGGCGACGAGAAATTGTCCGAGGGGTTATATCAACAGCCCGCAGTCAGCCTGTACCATTCAGATACTCATTTATCGACGAAAGTACGGGTATCGTGCACGACGAGAAGTCAGTCTTGAAACCTACGATGGTGCTTTTAAAGCCAAGCATAAACGAGTTCAAGGCCGACATCATGTCTCCCGGGATAAACGACCTCTCTCTCGAAGCGACTCGAAGGATTCTTACACACAACCTTTGGACTAAAGACGACCCTTCGCCAGATATTATTATTAGAACCTCGGGGGAAACTCGCCTGAGCGACTACATGCTATGGCAAGTTTGCGAGAATGCCCAACTTAATTTCATAAAATGCTTCTGGCCAGAAATTCGCGCCTGGCATTTAGCACGTATCGTGCTGGGCTGGCGAATGGGGAGGACCTTCTGAGAAAATGGTGAATGTGTCAAGCCTCTTGCCTTCATGTCAGAACCTCGAGTTGCTCACTCCGAAATGAACGCCCTTTAATGGAACGCTAGAGAACATTCACAGAATTGCCAATATTTTGAAGTGCTGTCGGAAGGATTCATAGCATTCGTAGTATTTATCCTCGAGGGGCCTGGGGTGTAATTGGTAATCGACACTCAGCTCGTATCCTCACACTTTGTCTACATACATTATCTAAAAAATCCTAAGTTAGGCAAGTGACACCCCTGGCTCCTCGGTTCATTTCCTATTTCTATAGTTCACTTTCTCTTAAAGCACATGCAGCAAGAAGATCTCACAGCTCTCAGGCTCTTTGCGAAATTACTCTCTCTTATACTCTCCAGATATTGGAAATTTGAACATAATGCGGGGACGGATCCCATAGGACCAGCAAATTGTTCCTTTCCAAATCAAATAGGCACCGAGAAATTGTTTTTAGATATCCAATCCATGTCACCAGTGTTCAGCGAAAAAAATGCGAGCCTAGAAGAGAGTTTGTTTTAATGCATATATTGCATGGAGACTAGCATCTTCCTAAAGTATAGGGGAGTGTGACCACAACCGTCCTCGTAGTGGGCAGGTTTGTTTACTTAATACATCCTTTCATAACTAACGGTTGAAAATTACTCAAACCCGGTATACCAAAATATTGTGACTATGTCGTTGGAATGGTTGGAACCAGTCGCCCTGGAGGAAGAACGGATGAACGATCTTTCTCAAGCCGTCGCTTTCCTCGAATTGAGGAACCTCTCCAATTGGGATCTGCGACCGAAGAAATATCCTGATTAGCGGAAACTAAGTAAAAACTTCCGACTTCGTGTGTGTTGCGGAGATAGGAGCAGTACTCGTGACTTTGAGGGAATTCTGGAATTCTGTAAACAGTAATGATACAAACCAAGGATGACCTGGAACCTACGGCTCCCTATACTGTCTAATAGCGGATTAAAGTGGTTGAAGATTTATTCCATTTCCCTGCGCTGTAGTATACGATGGTTATTGTTAAGTCGGCATCAGGATGGACTCGAGCTTGTCAAGTGCCTGCAGAATAAAGAGGGACCAACCTGTCGTCCTATAGGTTGTCCCGGAATGCTAACCAACTACTCTATTGCTACGAACTTCTATACAATTTTTTTCTTCACCTTATCGGTCCAACTTACCAGAAAAGGGGTCCACTGAAACCCACGCGGGGTGCAGGACCACCACAGAGAGAATTGTTAACGCTTGTGTAAATAATCTGCACACATTCAAGACGATGGCCCATCAAATTATTAGAGGAACCCCTAGAATTGATTATATTCTAGATAACTCGTCGATTCTAACATTTGCGGTTAATAGGGAACCACCGAAAAAGAAATTATCGAAATATTACCAGGCCAGTGGGGAGAAAAAGTGGAATTTGTTAATCACACCGATCGACTCTTTGCCCACAAGGTTTCTGCTCGGAACAAAAACAAAAGAGAGCGGGGAAAACATCTGCCAACGACCCCTCCCAAGATCCTTTGTGCGCAAACCCCAAGCTTGCTATCTGTTTTTTTCCTTTTAAAGGCATAAGAAAGCAATAATGTCCATCTCTAAAGCCCTCGTCTTCGACATCGGAGATGTTCTCTACGGCTGGGAAGCGCCTCCACTCGGGACGACCAACATCCCACCAAAAATGCTGCAAGCCATGATCGCAACTCCAATCTGGGCCGACCATGACATCGGCAAGTTCAATGAGACCGCCTGCTTCGCCAAGCTTGCTGAAGAATTTGATCGAAGTCCCGCTGAGGTCGATCTCGCCTTTGCTATGATTCGCGATGGGCTCCAGTTGAACAAAGCCTTGGCCGACCTCCTCCGGTCACTTAAAAAAAACCCGAATGTACAGGCCTTATATATCATGTCTAACATCTCGCAAGAGTTATTCACCCACTTGGGAACAAGAGATGATGGGATGGATTGGAATCTGTTCAAGGAGAGTTTCGTTTCCGGAGAGGCGGGGTTGCGAAAGCCAGATGCTGCGTTCTATACACTTGTCCTGCAAAGGATTGGGCTTCCGGCTGAGAACATATTCTTTGTCGATGATAAGGCAAATAATGTGGATGCGGCTCGGGCATTGGGAATCCAAGGCGTGGTTTACACGAGTATGGAGAAGTTGGAGCACGCCATTCGAGACTTCTTGGGGTAATATGAGGGAACTATGCAAGTCGCAATGCTGCAATATATAATTCGCTGCTATTAGGACTTTATCAAATATAAAATGTCCATTTATGCCATCCTTCACCCTTTATCACCCTTGACCTCAAGTCATCTTTTATGGTGCAAAACTTTCACAGCTAGTACTACTATATGACATGACATTGCTGATTTTCTGGTCTATCAGTTCTAGATCATAGTCGAAGCTTCTCACCGATATCGCATCCAACTTTAGATTGATGGAAAGTAGTCCCGAAGGCATTTACTTGCCAGAACAAAACCCGATTGAAGGATTTTATGCTAGGCTCAAAAGTTTCCTTAAACGTACGATAACCCTTTGAAAGATTCTCGAAAAGTGTATCAGTGTGGTCGGGGCAAAAGAAGAGAGCACCAGAGGCTATTTTCGATGTGCAGGTCTGAAGATCGCAGCCTTCGACACTTAAAATCCCTTTCAAATCCTGCCTAAAATCTTCTTGTATGGTGCCCAAAGTGTGCTGATCCGCTTAGTCGTTCTTGCTACAGTATTACATACTTATAATTATGCTGTGAAACGTCTAATGCGCCTGAAATAAATATCATGCTTAGTCCCTTACTTAGGCTAAGATTTTATAGATCTAGTGTAGCGCTATACTTTGATGGTGATGGTGCCCCTCCGCAAATACCAACAACCAAAGCAAGCTGGACATCTGGGTAGCTAACTTGTAGGCTAGACGCAACGCTTACAGCACTTCCCTTGCCTATTCCTGGCATGTAGCACAGGACCACATTATGCTTGCCAATCCTTCCATTTATATACGCATTCGCGTCACCTCGTTGCTTGCTGTAGTGTTTCCCAGCCGATCATAGCTTTCGTCAAAAAGGGCGTCGACCGCTTCCGCCTCCAGAGGAGAGGGCGCAGATCATCGCGATCGCAAAATCGTTGCGGCTTTTCGGTCACATTTCAGCTACAAGCAGCACAGGCTATTGAAAAGCTTGATATGAAAACTTAGCGAATCTTGCTGCGTCAAGTTCTCGTGGGAAACATCTCAACATGGAAAGTGAGCAGATTTGAAGTTGTGAAAGAGCTAAGGAAAGCTTTGTGTGCCCAGCCTCATGTCCGTGCTCACCAACCAGAGGACAGCAATACGCGTCTATGAAAAGAGTTCCGGATGCTAGAATCACGTGTTTAAGTAATACAGCCAGTGTATTACGTGGGTCGGCTTTGGAAAGGGGAATAGCAAGTCAACAGCTAACAGAATTCCATCTCAACTGTAACCGCCGAACAGAAAGAGTTGTTCCTCATACAGTTACGCTTTGTAGACGTTGGGGCCTGAGGTGCTACAGAGCTAGGAAAAGGGAATACATTCAACGTTGATATCCGCTGGTGTTTGGACAGCAAGCGCACTACCAAATGGCCCAGGCGACATTGAAGTCAGCCTTGCCGCAGAGGATGAATGCAGCATATACTGCCCCTGTTGAGCTGCAACGCGAACGAGAGGTTCAAATGGCATTATGAACGTAATGGCTTCACAGAAACTCTCCACGTGGTGCAAATCTCCGTCCCAATATCATCATGGATTACTTCCCACTGGAGGCGGACGTTTGCAGGTCCACCAGGTTCTGAGACTTGTATTTGGTTTAGAGTACTAGTGACTCGTGAGTAGTCTAGCCACAGATGGTCGATAGGACCTCGGGCCGTGGGTGGAGCTAAAGTCACCCGAGAAGCGAATCTTGCAGCGAATATGCCTAAAAAGTCTCCCTCACACATAGGGACGATTGAACAGACAAACAAAGAGCTGCCATCGTTGGGAAGGAGAAAGGTGAATGCAGACTTATCTCCTGGAGATTCCGACACCGATTGGTTGCCGTATGATGCGCATATGACATTAGGTGAGAAAGCCTGCAAACCCTTTTCTTTGAAGCTCTCTTCTTCGCCGGTTACGGCCTATTCATTCTTGGCATTGTTCCAAGAGGATTCCGGAACTTTCAGCCTCTCTACAACTTGGGGATTCTCAAGATCAGATAGGCGTGCCAGGTCGCCTTTCCCAAGTCTGAGGACCCGGGTTTCTGGTTGTTCGATATGAGGTCTATAGTGGGTCTCCCACCTCATGACCTCATCCACAAGAGAGATTTCTGACATTTTTGGATATCCCTTGCAGTAGCTGTCGAATTCCTTAGTCCGGTAATAGAGGACTTTATCAATGCCAGCTTCACGCATTTTGAACAGGTTTTCCCAGAAAATGCGGCATTGCCGTTGATTTTCTGCACCCAACCCGTATCCAGCATCTTCCATGAATTTCTTGGTTGCAGCTTTTTCTGCCATGGTAAATCCGTCTGCCGGTCCTTTCGCGGTTGGTAGCTTTGTATGATCGATCAACGCGGCACACTTGAGAATGATCTTCCAGAAAATTGTTTCGTTGAATCGATTTTGAAGACCCTTACCCGTGGCCAAAGCATTATCTCTGCGAATAACGTGAATTGCTTTTTCATAATCAAGTTCTGAAACCTCATCAACATATTTCCGGATATTGTCAGGCTTGGTGGTTGTCGGGATACGGCTCGTTCGGTGCCCGTAGAGACCAATAGTGAAATTGACCTTCACGCACTCGAACAATATCGATGACATTGCTCTCAATGTATACGCGGAGTCTGCTTGATAGGACGAGGAAATGTCGACGGAGATATCTAAATGGTGGGTACCTTTCACATGGTCGTAGTCAGGCTAGATCAAAGGACGTTAGCCTCGGATCAAGTACCTGAAACAATTTTGTCTGATGGCCAAAGTGGCATACCTGTTGACTTATATTCTTACAACCCACCTCGATAGGTTCATCAGCAATTCTGTCTGGAGATTTATTACCTAAATTTTCAGAAAGCTTCGAAATAGGCCGCTTTCTCCTCTTCCTCGGTTCTGCGCCTGCAAGATTTCCATAGTTCCTTTTCGGTGCATTCAGAATCCGATAGGATCCACGCTCTCTGTGCGGGGAAGCCGGAGGCGTTTGTAACGCTAAGCCGGTGGTTCGCAACGGGGACTCTTCTGTGTTGCCGTCCTGGCTCGCTATTTGAGCCTGGAGGACTAGAATCACGGTCAACACTTATTCTATTAGGCAAGTCAAGTGTCTAACGTACCGTCATTATCGACTTTAGAAATCAAGCAGTCAATATACTCTTCGTTATGATCGATGCCAGAGACGTGAACGCGTCCCGGATGGCCTGGGCTAGAAAGTCTCGGGCGGTCTCGTCCATGATACTTGGAGAATGCGATGCGTGTGACCGAGGACGCGCCCACCTCCAGCATTATAAATACCAGCCGCTTCCTTTGCTCTGGAACTTTCGAGCAGACTGATCGACGAGCCAAGCCCACCTGGGTGGGGCTGTTGACAGGTATAAGCCAATCATGTATCCACAACGTCTCCTTATCCCAGATTTAGCAGTCCTGGGGCGTAGATCCAGGCCCATTGTGAGGTGACGTCTTTTTGCGGTCTCGAAATTCAAACCGACCTCCCTAACCAGCGTCTACGCTGTGTCCAGTCCATGGCTTTAATATCATATCGCAGCTTCGTGTTGGCGACTTGAAAGAACGTTGGGTTGCGGGCCAGGTTGGCTTGACTGTTGAATGTGGTTGGCTAGTGGCGTAGTTGGTAGCCCGAGGAACGAAATCATCTGTTTACGGGACCCATAGGCGCAAAATTCGGAAGACAAGCAGTTCTTGCACGGAAAGCCTGGGGCATTCCAAACAATTAACAGGGAATGGGACGAACAGGGCTGGTAGAAGAAAACATCACCCCGAGCCAGCGCATAAGACCACGAGCTGAAAATGAATACCTACACACCGGCTTGTTGAAGCAATCACATTCGTTAGTTCGTATGGATTAAACAGCTCTGCACCTGGAAGGCGTAAGAAGGTGGAAGAAGCGAGAAGCGTTCAAGGATGAAAGTGACAGAGGACTGGTTTTTAAACGGTGACTCACCTCGAGAGGAGGTTCTAACCCCACTTCCTCGTCGCACTGATCTGCATCACGTGCATTCCTAATAGTCGAGGACCTCCCACTCTCGTAGCGTCGACTCAGCCTTCAAAGCCTTCTTGGTAAAAAATGGCCCGTATTGGCTATTTCGGGAAGTGGATGGCCGGTCCCAAATGGTGGGGGTGGTTATTTCTTTAGGCAAACAGAGCAATGCGGTGCTGATCCCTTTGTACAACTGAGTAGGCAGTTTTGATAAATTCATTTTGCTTTTTATGAGTGTTTACGTTCATCATGATGCCATTTACAGACATGACCATTTGAGAGTGAACAAGTTCAAAATTATGAGATGGTGAATGAAGAACTAAGATGTGACGGCTAGTTGATCGTGAACGTGCCTGGGCTTCACATTGTCCTCACGGACATCTGCTTTGTGAACAAACAAACATATTACCAAGCAAGTAAATATAGTTAATAATAGGAGAGAAATAAGCCCGTTCATTAAGCAGGCGTTCAATTAATGAAAACGTTTTACTGCTGAGTTACGTTCAATTCACCATCAACACAGAGATATTGCTTCCAGTACATCCAATGTTATCAAAAATGGGGCTAGGGGTATTAAAGAGTTTCGGTCGACATACTACAAGAAACGGTGACTACAAGGGAACGGTGAAATTGTCATAGAACTTCCAACGCACTTGCCGGTCAAAAATGGAAGGCATTATCAGTAAAACCATTGGCTAGCCAATAGACCTTCTCCACATAAAATTTAGGTCCGTGCATTTCAATTTTCCTCTTGATGTTCAACGGTCAAACAGGGCGCTATCTGAGCTCAATCCTGAGCCCTACAGCTCATTTGCCCATGCTATAGTCTAAATGCTGTTGATGTGAATAGTTATACTCGTTTTGTTTTCATCAATACTGTATGAGCCAGCAACTATGCTCAAATAACAATGTTCAAATCACTGGTTATTAGGGCGGGTTATGGATACAGCATCACCATTGTCGACTACCTTGCAAGAATCAACTATGATTGTTGAATGTGATGGCGAATGTTTAAAAATCTAGCAAATACATTAACAATCATTAAGAAACCATAAGCAAAAATATATCCAGCATTCCCAGAAATTGTTACTCATAGTGTGGTGAAACTTCGTGTAGAGTCGGTAGGCTCTGGCCTTTCTAAGACTCTGAATTCGCCGAGTCTAACTGGTGAAAGTTGTTTTCAACACTACCTCACTTAAATTACAAGTTGAGAATAAATTTAGGAACAATATAAGATATTGTAACATATACCGGAATCCACCTCCCCCCTTACTGTTATCCGTATGATTCGCAGTGTTTACTCCTATGCCCTCTCAGAATCTGAATGGTTCTATTTTAACCAGCAGATTTCTTAGAGCAGGTTATACTTAAAATTACCCTCGATGTCTCCCTCTCATTAACGTCAAAAGCGGATATCGTACGCAAATAGGTCGAGATTAACCGGGATCCCCGTATCTACCTTATAGCGTCGGGCCAATAACAAGCCTTCTATTGCTGATAAAGCTGCTAAGTAGTAGTACCTTACCCCGCAAGAGGAGCAGGCACTAGTAGAATATATACTACGGTTGGCGGACAATGGTTATCCGCTTCTAGTTAGGTTTCTGCGATCGCTCGCTCTAGTCATCGCGCACCAGCGATCCTCGACTTTCCAGATCACAGATCCCCGCCTTAAGATCTAACCTCCGGGAAAGAATTGGCTGTAGAACTTTTACTTACGCCACCCGCAGTTGAAAGCGCGACGGTTACGAGCGATCGATTGGAAACGAGATAACCGGCAGATCGAAGACAAAGTCCGATATTAGTTTACTATTATTGGCCGAGAGCTAGCCGATCCCGCTATTCTCCCGGAAAATGTTTATAATATAGACGAGACAGGAGTTCTTCTCAGTGTTCTCAAATCCCTTAAAGTCCTTATCCACAGAGAAGATTTGAGAAAGCATCGGGGGACCACGGTGAAGCGGACGCTAGGTACAGCAATCGAATACATTTCCGCCGATGGCCGGTGCCTCTATCCTCTTATTATCTGGCCGGCCGCTACCTATCGTAGCTCGTGGACTACTCACGCTACCTCCGGATAGCATTTTGCCTGCTCTAAAACAGGATATACGAACAAATACATTAGTCTGTACTAGGTGGAAAATGTGTTCGATCCGCAAACTCGAGACCGAGTAGGCGATCGGCCACGACTCTTAATCTGCGATGGTTTTGGCACTTATAAGTCTGTAGAGGTTATGAAATTTTGCTTTGCTAACTGTATAATCCTATGTCGTCTCCCGTCTTATACGTCTCACAAAACTGCAGCTATACGATGTGGGCGTCTTCGGTCCTCTGAAAACAGCATATCAGGCACGGGTTGAGCAGGTATGCCGAGCTAGTGTGGGTGCTATCGGCAAGCCACACTTTACCTATCTTTATGATCGCGCCCGAAATGAAGCATTTATATCCCGGAATATACGATCCGCCTAGTCGAAAAGCGGCCTCTTTCTATTCGATCTATCTCGCGTCCTCCGAGAGTTTCTAGCGCTACGAACCGAGATACAAACCACGATCCCTGTGGACTAGAGGAGTTAGGACTCTTAAAGCCACGGAGAGTTTTAAGAGGGCATACTATTTGAGAGCTGAGGAATGACTAAAACCCCGATGAGTCTGGGGAGAAATAAAATATTCGTCCTAACTCTCGAATCCGTATACCTAGGCAAACATCCGCCCCGCACATTTCGCTACGCTCTTGCAACGCTAGCACCCTTAGGGTTAGCCCCTTCTAGATAGAAATCTACTAATCTAATTTATTAGAAATATAGTTTAGGCTATGTTATTTAAAAGATATCTTTTACCCGACCGGGAAATACTAAAGTTTAAATTACTTAGGGGGGGGGGGGGGTTCCGCTTAAAAAAGTCTTGGCCAGGGCCCAGGGGTTTGAGTTTGGCTTAGGGGGGTTTGGCTTTGAAGGTTTAAACCAAACAAATCCCCCCCCTTTCCCATCCCCTACTAAGTACTCCTGTTTGGCCGACTATATTTAGGATCTTCAGTCTTTATATAGATAAGATTTAATAACGCTTGTTCTAACGCCTTACTTTAAACCTATTAGTTCGGCCGAGTTAGTTTATTAACTTAGATAATTAGTCTTTGCTATCCTTAAGGCATCCAAGTGTGAATAACCTTATGTCAGGCATATCATCACAAGTAGTCCTATCTATTAGAAGTGTTTAGGATAGGTAATAAATCTAACTAGATTGAAATAAGTGCTTTCATCGTTGACTCGGACATAGACTTTTAGTATTTGAAATTTTCAATTTATGACTAATCTGAATTGATAATATCTCATCGCGCATCTCCCTCAAAGTAAGGATCATAATGAAAGCAAATTTTGAATCTGCAACAAGACGAGGCCGTTGATTGATAGCAGCTCTCGGACTACATATAGATATCCCTACGATACTTGAAGATAGTATGTCTCAAATGGTGGCTGTGTATTTTGCCCTTTCTATATTCTCGTGATAGGCGCTAATTTTAGCGTCAAATTCCCTTGAGGAAGACTTTGGCCAATCGATGTACATCGGACACCTGTAAATCTCGTAATCGGTATTCCTTCGACAAAACCTGCAAAATTTCCGTGCGTAGGTTTTGCATCGAACAATTTGAATCCAGCAAGCGCTCCAAGCAGCAGATAATCATAGACTGTATCACTGTGATGAACGCTGCGGGCATCGCGTCTGTATCGTACTCATAGCGAATATTCAAGGCATCATTTTCAGCTTACTATTCAAAGAGACAAGAAAACTTGGCACCTTTCGCCGAAATGGGAGTCGGTGTCACACCATCGATAGGAAAGGCGCGACTGTGTTTTTCTCGGACACGATGGTCATGGAATGTGACCACGCAATCGAAGAGTGGTTGCTGCTGCCTTTGTTTGGCAAGTGATGGGGGTAAAAATGGCAGACCTAACAGGTTCAATAGCTGGTGCCAGGGAATTGCGTGCGCTAGTGCGGACTGAGATAATGCGCGAACTTGAAAGAGAGCTTCCTCCGTCGTGAGATTATCACTACTTGACTTGACCCTCACAGGAAGAGGTTGCAGAAACAGTCCAACTATTGACATGTCCCTTATATCGGGGCGGTTCATATACGGAGCTCCTAAAAGGATATCATCCCGTCCACAGAGAGTATAAAGCACAAATCCAACCGCCGCCAAGCCAATTTAATGCAAGGTAATACTAGTTCGGGATAACAGCGCGAGAAATCGCTTATAGAGCGAGTAAGGAATAGCCTGCATCACAGATGCTCCGCGGTAAGACCGCCTAGGTGCTACTTATGTACCTAAGCCCACTGGAGTAGAATCAAGAAAAGAGAGTCCATCCAAGTATTTTGGCCAGAATAAGGCACAGGATGACCCAATAGGCTGATTCCAAACAGTACTTTCGAAGTATTCGTGTTTGGGAGGCTCTAGTTCTTTTCCGTAGTATGCATCGGCTGTTTCTAGCAGAATCACGTTGAGAGCTGTCAAATCGAAGAGTACGTGAGAAGCGCAGATGACGAGCGTCGAGGAGGTGATAATAACCTGAATAAGATCTTCACTATCGAGCCTGAAGGACTGCTAGATAAAGGCTGTTATATCGACATCATCTATGAGAGGCACAATGATGGCATTTGGTGAGAGGGAGCGTTTTGTTTTCCCTTCTTGAGTCGTGAACCTAGACCGTAGAATTCGATGTCGGTTCAAAACTTTCTCCAGGGCCAATTTGAGCAGCTGTTGATCAATCTTGCTCGAAAGCTTCGCGACATAAGGCATATTGAATGACGACCTCTCCTCGGAGTTTTGGTAGCGGTAGATCCATTCAAGCTCGGTAGGTGAAGGGTCATCCAGGCCGAGGGACCTGCTCTGATCTCCCAATAAATCCCCCGAGATAGTGTTTGACTGCGCGCTATCATATGTTTGGATATAGTTGGCCAGACCTCGGAGTGAGGATGCTCGGGTGACATCGTTCAGGGTGATGGGAATGTGAAAAATCTTCTTTAGTCGCGCCACGAGCGCTAACTGTAGTAAAGAATGCCCTCCTAGCGCGGCAAAGTTGTCGAAGCAGGATATGTCATGTGTCTTGTCCAGCGCCAAGAGTCGTCGCTATTCTTCGGCAATAGTCTTCTCCACTGAAGTCAGAGCCTCATTGCTCCCTGAAGCCTGATATGTTGGTGTATGTGACGTAAGGGTTTTTGTATCAACCTTCCCATTTAGTGTTTGAGGCAACCTCTCGAGGGCGAATACTTTTTGGGGGACAGTATGGGGTGGTAGCGCTTGGGAAAGCTTTCGCTTGAGGAGCTCTGTATCAATTTCTTTAGGCTTAACCCAGACCACCACAACACTATTTTCTGCTGTCGCAACCGATTTGCGCACTAATAGCATTTTCTGAAGAACGACTGTTGTGATGTTATCCAAGTTAATTCGGAAGCCTTGTATTTTGACTTGGCGATCGTTACGACCACAGCAATGCAGATTTCCCTGCTCATCCTAGAACCCAAGGTCACCGGAGCAGAACATCATTTCTTTTGTCGAGCTCCCACAGAATAGATCGGGAAGAATCTCCTCCGATGTCTTCTTCTCTATATTATAGTAGCCTTAAGCTACTTGAATACTAGCAATAAAGATTGTCCCGACCACAAAGGGAGGCTGAAGGTCTAGTTACTCGTTGAGAATGTAAATTCTTGCTAACAGCAAAGGACGACCAAGGCTCACCGTACCGCTAGGCTTTAATTAGTGGTGGCAGACAAGAAGGGAAGTCTGTAACACAAAATTGAGATTTTGTCTATTTCCGAAAACATATAGTTGTCTTACCTCTGTGGGCCCGTAAATATTATACAGTGTTCTTCCTGCTGCCTATCGTTCGACTAACGGCTCTGGCACAGGCTCTCCTCTGAAATAGACCTTGAAAAGCGAGCAAGAATATTAGAGGGTAGGAATCCCGTGTGAATATACTCAAACGTACCGATTTCAAGTTCGGATAATCTTCTAGACTTAGCTCTAAGGCTACGGATGGGGTTAAAATAGCAACATCCACGTCTTGAAGATAAGAGAAAACATCGTCTTGTTCTCGCCGGAGTACCAATGTGCTTCCGAAGCAGACTATGGAGAGGATCTTATGTATGCAGCCGTCGAAGCCAGGAGAAAGCATTTGCGCAATTCGTACGCCAGGATGACTTATAGGCCGGGCAGCCGGTGCAGCGTATAAGGCAACAATACTTCGATGTCGGCATAGTATACCTGAGAATTTTAGCATAATTCTGATCCAATGACAAATGCCCAAAAGGTACCTTTTAGTTGACCAGTAGATCCCGAAGTAAAGCAAATATATGCTGTTAAGCTTAGCCGCGGTCCTCTAATCGGCAGGTTTACTGGGCCACTGCGGCTGTTAAGGATGTTGTCGATCGCCAGCGTCAACGGCCTATTTAGGCCTACTACGGAAATCTGTAAGCTATCCGGAACGAGTAAAAGTCGTGCTTCACTGCGCTCAAGAAGCTAGGTACAGTATTCCGCAGAATAAGATACGTCCACTAAATAATAGATTGTATCTGCTTACATGGCTGCTAGCATAGCCACAATCCAATTAATAGAACGATCCGCTAAGACTGCAACCACTTTTCCGGGTAGAACAAGACATGAAATTATAGCAGCCACCTTGTCTACATAGCCAGAGAGTTTGGAATAGGTCAGCGTGATGTCCGCCTGCTGGATTGCCGCTCTGGAGGAGTGCTGGTTTGCAGCAATTCGAAACAGATCGCTGATAGTCTTCGCTACATCGTAGTTCCTGCTAGCTAATGATCCAAAGTTGCCTATGGCCAGCAAGCTTTGCCGCATTTGGAGAGGAAACCTCAGGTCAAGGCACTTCTGCACAGTAACCTAGTCACACAAGATAACAGAGAGGAGGTTGCTATAGACAGCTCCAATATTTTCAATTAGTGCAGGTAGGAAGCTTTTAGTCCTATAGAAAATACTGATCTTGCCATCTAGGTTGACGACTAGATTAAGAGGAGTGGCTGCGGTATTTCGGAAATATAGTTCACGAAACTGTTTGACAGCGCTTAATCCTTTCGCAGATTCCTTGTCTTGGACAGTAACGGTGGTGGAAAATGATAGAATATTAGAAGGGAGATGTGAGCTATAGAAGCTAGACAGATACTGAATGATCCGATAAATTTGCTGCAAGAAGTCGGCTGTCTTTTGCTGTCTGTCGATCTCAACGACCACAGGCAATATTTCAATTAATAGTCCCAGCATCGTCTCAGTCTATCTAAAAGGAAGCGAGCGACCCGAGAAAACGGCCCTATAGGCTATCGCATCTGAACCCGTATAGCTAGCGAGGAGTAGCACCTATACAGCATTGTAGATAGCAGCTGGGGTAATATTTGCAGCCCGAGTATAGGCTTCTATCTTGTCTTAGTCTATGCTCTGTGGAACGTGGATTTGTGTATGGCCTTTTTTGCGGGGGCTGTAGGACAAAGAAGGGAATATAATCTCCCCAGATGCTTTAGGAAAAAGTGGCTCCAACTCCCTCCAGAATTCCTGCGTCTCTGCAGTTGTCTCCAAGCGTAAGCGATCTATATCCTGGACCGCCACCGTAAATAGAAGAGAGCTTTCAGTGGGTTTTCCATAGAGCTTGTTGTCGATTTTCTAGAAAATCAGTGATACAGAGTAGCTATCTATAAGCGTATGATAAACAGTCTACACCACAATACTCTGACCTAATTCCAACTTATCACCTTCACAATACAAGACTACAAAACTGTTGCCCAGATCAGCGCGGGTAGTCAATTTATAGAGAGCTATGTTGATCTCCTGCTGCGTATTAACAACTATCTCGTCCCAATTAAATGTAGGACGCAGCTAAAGACTTTGTGTTGGCTTAGCCTATAGCTAACTGAAAGTCATCCGGAACAATAGTTCTGTTAAGGCGAGCGATTCCCATACTGCACTAATGCGGGGGATATTGCTTGTGGTATAATAGGAAATATGTTGTACGTAGTTCATACTTGGGTCCTCTAGAGTAGCAAGAAGGAGCCCTCTCTGTAGAGGAGTAAGTGCTACCTCTTCAGTTCGATATAACGCTTGAATATAAGAGGGAGCAGTTGGACCTTTAGTGACACAATAATCTATTAGAGCTTGTATAGACAGCGCAAGGAGGATATCCCGAACAGGGACGGTGAATCCACGCTCACAGCAAAGCGTAGATACTTTGATAGCAGTTAGTGAATGTACTCCGTAGTTCACGGCCGACTTTTTAGTGTCAAAATGATCGATTGGAATATTAGTGACATAGGAAAGTGCTATCATTATCGCTTCATCCAGAGTGCATATAACACTTCTAATATGATTAACAGTCGAAGGTAGGTTTCCGCTCAAGACTCTCTTAAGGGCCTTGACATTAGTCTTGCTATTTATCATTAGAAGATAACTAAGGGCCACGAGATGATCCGGAACCATATAAGCTAGTGATATCGCTTTCTATCTGGCAATAAGCGTTTCTGTATCGACGTCCTCTAGACCAACCACAGAGACCAACATTCCGTTGAGAACGAGCGAAAAAGAGAACGTGATATGTTCGTTAAGCTGCACGACTTTAGTATCTAAATCCTAGGAGAGGTTAACGAGGAACCCTCGGATCTTCGTGATCCGATCCCTTCGGCCAAGGAACTCTAGTATTCAGGACCCCGACTCGGTAATCACCTACTTAGCTATATTACCTGTGCGATATATTCTATCGTTTTGATACTAGATAAACTTGGTCTCTGTCAATCTCTCGTCACCCTAGTAGCCTTCTGCTAGGCAGTAACCCGAAACGAATATCTCGCCTTCGATACCAATATCACTGACTTCTTGCAAATTTTCATTAATAAGCGTAATAGTAGAATTTGGAATAGATTAACCAAGTCGGGTAGTGTGGTAACGGCTAGTCTTTCTGTCTGCCTGCAAAAGGCCCGTTAAGATGGTATATATAGCTTCTGTTGGCCCGTACGCAATCCAGAAATCAATATTTGCAGAAGACCAGCCCTCGATGAGTCTCTAGGATAGGGTCTCGCCCCCTAGAATAACGCGCTTAAGCTCCGGATAGTCGGTACTATGTGTTAGCAAGCTCAAAACATCTAGGATAGAGGGAGTGATAGCAAACACATTTGCTGTGACCGCACGTTCCTAGATAGTCTCAGAACTGGCGAGGACTACTGTCCTGCTATTACATATAGTGCTGAAGAGCGCACCCATAAAAGCTTGTTTAATATTTAGCATTCATCTAGCACGTCGGGAGAACATGGACGTCTTACTGTCAAACGCTATAGAGAGTACAAGAAGCATCCGGTCGCCTTTAGATATTGCAAAATTAAATAGGGGGGATGAAACGAGATTGAGCACCGAGGCATATATCAGAATAACGCCCTTTGGTTTGTCGGTTGTCCCGGAGGTGAAGATTATGCACATTCGTTTTGAAAACTCGTCATTCAGAGATTTCACAGATTCCACGGCAGGGAAATTGGTTAAAACATCCTCGACACTAACGTATCTGACTTCCTGTGTCCGGATATCAGGCTAAACGCCTGTATAAACGATCAAGTCTGTATTAATGCGCCTAAGAATCGAGTCTATCTTTTCTGGTGGCTATTGTGCTCGGTTAAGTGGTATATAGCACCCTCCGGCTTTGAGGATGCCCAAAATTCCCACAACTATATCGCAACAGGAAGTCGCCAGCAATAGAATTGGCTGCCCAACGTTCACATCGCACTGCTGGAGATATTACGCCAATTTTGAGGAAGCGAGGTCTAGCTGCCGGTATAATAAGACGGAGTTTTGGCTATCTTCTAGGGCATATCTGCCGGCACTTTCTTGCACTGATCGACGGAACAGATCGAGGACAGACTATAGATCTTTCGCAGCCATAGTGATAGTTCTTGACTAGAGGCTGATTTGATTTTCAAACTAAGATCTATAGTTATATAGAACACTCCCTTCTCTACATACTTATCTGAACTAAAATAAACAGCTGACTTTTGTAATGTTACCTTTTCTAATATTACGAACAGAATGCTGGGCGTCCCACCGTTGCCCGCATTTATAGTATACTCCTTGCATCCTTGCCCATTAAGCAAGGGATGTCATCTAGATCGTGCAGAAACTAGCGTTGCTAGCTCAAGACACTTCATAATCTTGCTTTTGCTCCGGCATACAATGTAGTACTACGTCAAGCCAGCAAGGAAACGATTTTCCATAAGGACGATGGTCTCTAGCCCTGCCACATCTAACAACTCCAAGAGTCTTTAGTCACGTCAATTCTTTAGACCAACGTGTTCATCGTTTAATCCTCAGACTTATCTTTCTCTGACGCTTTCCTAGTCATTCCTGTTTTACCATAGCGATTATTA